AGTGTGTGTGTGTGTGTGTGTGTGTGTGTGTGTGTGTGTGTGTGTAGTCTTTTGTCTGGTGAAAACAATTTCCCTGGAACCTAACCCCCACATTTACATTAATTCTTATGGGGAAATTGGATTCACTTAACATCGTTTTGCTTAAAGTCGCATTTTTCAGGAACAGAACTACACCGTTACGTGAGGAGTTACTGTGTAGACAGACCCATAGTAACTGCCTTAGGGCAGCATAGCAGGGAGCACGAGAGTAGAAAGAACCTGTGGAAAAGCAGACCAGCCTGTTGGGAAGAAGGAGCAGCTCTTTTTCTGCAGACCTGCCCATGGCAGCGTCTCCTTGTTAACAGCAGTGCTTGTCGGGGGGGGGCTCCACAGGGCTTTGGGGTGAATCAGAGCCAGGGGACAGCCATTTTGGGTTGCTTTTTCCCTGGCACTGCAGCAGCGTTAATGTCTGTGCCTTCACGCCCGCTTGGGGAGGCAGGTGAAACTAATAGCAAGAAGACTGCTGAGCCTATGGCTTCACTGACAGAAGAGGTGCATTTGTACTGTAGATAACTAACCCATGGTAGCTATCACAGTATAAACACAGTTCAGACAACGCTCTTTAGTTTTACTGGGAGAAGCTAGGCAAGGTCCGCCACAGGCTTAGGGTGGGCAGGGGTAGTGCCGACCTCGCCTAGCTCTCTGACTGAACACTGGGATTTTACAGTGAGATAACTAGCACCGGTTTGTTAGCTTGCTGTAAAAAATACACCTTTGCATCAATGGAGACAGAGCCTTAGTGAGCCATGCAGCCTAAGGAGCAGGAGAGGGGCCCCCCCACCACAGTTCTCCAGAGAGCCTGGAGCACCAGGCAAGACTGAAGTGTATGCCCTGTACCCATTGTGCCAGGCAGCTGACCCCCTTTTGAGATCAGAATGCTTCTGAACCTGCAGGAGCTTTCATCGATTGAGCGGTTAAAGCACTGGGCCCGCCCATCCCTGTGGGGTTTTGACAAGTGGGGACAAGCAGCCCTTAATCTCTTCCTAGCTCCGAACAGGTGAACTTTCCTCAAGGGTTTTCATTTCAAGGACCTCCTGAGTTCTAATCCTTGTTCACCGCCTCGGGCAAGTCATTTAGACCTTTCTACTGCAGTATTCCCATTACTTAAATAAACCTAACACTTCCCTGCCTCACAGAGATGTCACGAGGATTGGCTTGATCATGTTTGTATGGTGATTTGAGGATGCAAAGTGCTATGTAAGTGATAAGTATTAGAATTACAATGTTTTGCTATTATGCCCAGGGTGTGGTATTGATTATTTAACAGATGTCTGAACTTGTGAGAACAGCGAGCAAACTGATCAGCCTGCGAAGCTGAGTTTCCGTTGCCTTGCACCTTGTTCCTTCATCTACATCTGGGCAAAGTAGGTGGGAAATGCTACCAGATTAGAATGGTAACGTTTAATACCCACTTTGTACATGGAGTCTTACCACTAACCTCAATGGGCTTTGGCTCGGGCCTTCAATGAGTACCTAAGGTGCAAGGCATTGGGGAACCGAGCGGGGTGAGAAGAAACGCTCAGATTGAACATCAGAGTGCAGCCGGTGATATAATCCCATCTTGACTGCATTCCAGACTCGAGTCACCCACCCGCTCTTTGGTGATGGAGGCTCCAAAGGGAATCGAAATTAACGCAGAGGCCGGCAACATGGAAGCCACATGCAGGACGGAGCTGAGGCTGGAATCAAAAGATGGAGAGGTAGGAAATGGGAAAGGAACCCTAAACCAAAACCAACCTGCAGATTTATAACTGCCTCATCCACTTAGCAACCCCCTTTCAAACAGTGGTTTAAAAACAATGGTGAAGCTGGCCCAGATACGCTAGCAGTGACTGAACACAGCGTGTGCAAACTAGATTCCCTCCGTGGAGAATACTCAGCTGATTCATTATTTTTAAAGTGCTTGGATAATAGCATCTGTTGAACAAGGAGATTTATGCAGCTGTAAAATGGCACTATACTCCTAAATTCTCTGTTTGGCTGTCAGTTTAAAATGAGATTTACTTGGCTAACATCATTCAATCTTAGATCATGAATTTTGCAATAAGAGGAGCTTAACTCACCTGGATAGGTCTGCAAAGCTTTTGTAACCGGCTGTTTTGATTTTTGAGGGAATAGTGTCAGGAAAAGTTAGACGGCTACATCAGTTAACTACCAGAAGGAAAAAAGAGGGTTAAAAAATGGGGAAAACCTAGAATTGGGTGGAAATTTTCAAATTAATAGTTTATTTTCCCCCAAAAAATGCACTTTGGGGTAAATTGAAACTGCAAAATCAGGTTGAACTTGGCAAATAGTTTTGGCCCCCCAAAAAAGGAAAATATTTTTGAAAGAGCCGAAACATTTTGTTTCAACATTTTCTAAATGAAACATTTCAACTTCTCATTTTGAAATGAGGTTTCATTTTAAACTTAGCTGGATTTATTTTTTAAAATGTGTAATTACAGCTGCCACTGCTTCCCCTCTGGACCCATTTGCATGAAAAATTCTATTGCTCGCCTCTCGGTTTTGCAATGAAAGTTATTAATTTAGCAATGAAAGATTACAACCCATTACTAATTCTCTCTCTGTCTCTCTCTCCCCACACCTCACTTCAGATCACGCTGAATGCTGCAAATATCAGACTACCTAGATTGCCTCTAGCATCCCACTCCTCTACTGGATCCAGGCAAAAAATCTACGAGCTGTGTGTGTGTTCCAATGGGAGGTTATTCCTGTCTCAGGCAGGAGCTAGTTCCACCTGCCAGATAAACACAAGCATCTGTTCTTAAGAGACGGTTCGCAGCAGGCATTGCAGGCAGCACAAAGGCCCTGTTCTGGTCTCACAGATAGCAGCTGCCAACTATTTTTGCTAGAACCCAGAAAGCCTATCAAAGACTTTTTTGTGTGTGTGCGCGTGTGTGAATATATATATATGAATATATATATATAAAAAGATATATATATCCTCTGTGTAAAATGATGTTTCAGTACAATGAATCCCAGGGTGACCCTATTACATTCTGTTAAATTGGACTCACTACTCTCTGAACCCTTTTGTATTAATATAGTCTAATGGCCCTCCCTTATTACTCACCGTCTCCTCATAGCAATGGGAACAATGTCTGATTCAGTACATGAACTGACGTACTCCTGGCATCACGCAAGAGGAGAACAACAACTCTGATCATTTTTGCACCATTAAAAATCAGTGGCAACAGAATGGCCAGCAAGGCAGAGCAAATGGCCTCGAGAACTCCAAGACGCCTGTCACTAAATTACACTCTCTTTTAAATCTAAAGTAGAGCAGCCTAATTGGGAGACTCTACACTGCCCACCAGGAAAACTGGGTTTGATTCCCAGTGCTGGTCTCCCATCACTTAGCCTTGGGAAGCAGGGAATATAGGCCCCAATCCTGTTCTCGGTGGAGTAAATGGCAAAACTCCCATTGACTTAAGTGGTGCTGGATCAGGCCCAGAGAAGGTAGAGAATAGCATGCACCATTCAGCTGTGAAGCACCCTGCCAGTGAAGGGGCGATGTTTAATGGGCTCTGAAGGGAACCCCTTTCAGTCCTCCTGGGCAGATAGAGGTATAAAAGATCAGGGAATTTGACATGTACGTGGGGATCACTGCCTCTGGGAGAAAAATCAAATTCAGGCTAATTCTGTTTTCCTGGGGTTTACAATAGTGATCCCTGTTTGTGTAACTCACATTTTATTATGTTACTTTGCATCAACAGGAAAACTAACTGTGAATGCCACATCCCCCGTTAAAAAAAAAAAAGCTTTGATTAAAAAAAAAGGCGAGAGAAAAATTGTTGCAATTACAAAAATACCAGGTCTACATAGCCATCAAGTGTTCTAGTTCACCTTAGAGAAGGGGTCGGCAACGTTCGGGTGCTTACCCTGGCGAGCCGCGTGCCAAACGTTGCCAACCCCTGCCTTAGAGCATTCAGTCCTACACTATAGGAGTAATTCTGCTTTTAAAATAAACCACCTCTCTCTCTCTCTCTCACTCTCATACACACACACACACACACACACACACACAGTCTGAGAGACAGTGAAACTTGCACAAAAGAGAAGTATTATCCAAATTCTCTGCAGGGATTTTTTTTTTTTAAACAGGGAGGACAGTCTGAGGTCACTCACTTTTTATGGAAATTGCAAATATCAGAGATGCTGATTATGAAAGAGGACTTTTAAAAAATGTTTTATAAAGATCATGACCAAATAAGGTCATGGAAAAGTAAGGCTTTGGGCTCTGGGCTCTGGGTCATGTTGAACTTGAACCCAAATAACTCAGTGTTTGAATCTGGTTTTCATGAGTGGGGGGTTTTCCCTCCATGAGGCATTTATGGGAAATGAAAAATGTGAGATCTGATCTTGTCACACTGTTTCCATTATCCAAAAATGGGAATACCATGAGCAGTGTGGAGATCTCATAGTTACTGGGTTTCAACTCCATCAATGGCTCCCCCAGTCATTTAAGAAGCCTGTGAAAAACATGTATGGTAAATTTTTCAAAAGTGCCTAAGTCCTATTAACTTTCAATGAGACCTGGGTTGCTAAGGCATTTAAGTGCTTTTGAAAACTTTACCCCTATACAAATACTCAAACCTGTGCATACCTCTGGTAATACTGAAAATACATTGATTTCACCCAAACAATTTTCCAGATTAAATATCACAAAAACAAAATGTTTAGAGACAGTTTGGCCAATTTCTATATGAGTCACTTGTATTTTCTTGGGGGCTCGAGAGTGCCAGGTTTCTGGGTTTTTTAAATGCGCATATAGGGCATAATCCAAAGCCAGATGAAGTCAATGAAAAGACTCCCATTGACTTGTATGGAACTTGGATCAGGCTGTTAGAAAAATAACCTATCCCACATCGGTCCTTCTGGTTGTTTTGCTCGCTAACAAAGCACACTTGAGGACACCCATAAAATTTTACACTTGACGGAGGTTGAAAATTATTAGTTCTACAATTTTCTTAGTGTTGCAGTTAGGTTAATTGTCAAGTTCAAACTATTTGTTAATTAATGCAAAGGGTCACCCAGGATAACAATTGTATTGGGACATAGGACTATACCATCTCTGTTCAAAGAGGGGAAATTGTGCCTATGCCTTAAGTCAATGCACTCAGCAAGGAGAAGCACATCATATTTATCTTGTTATTAAAACTACTTTATTTTGTGGGGGGACAGTTGGAAGGGAGGGAGGCGGCTGTCAACAGATGTCATGGGAGCCGATGGTGCAACATGAAGCAGACTTAAGTGAAATCCATAAAGGCTGTGAGGGCTGCTGGAGTAAGTATAGACTTTTACCATATTAAATATAACAAAAGACAATGTATGTTACCTTCGGACCATAGCTGAAGTCCCACTCATAGCCCCAAGTGGAATACATTTACTGTAGTATTTTTTTCTCATTTCATTTTGTATTAGACAGTAATTCTCATCATATGCAAGGGCCGATTCATAAAAAAAATTATTTGTCCAGGGTGAGCAAGGTTATAGTGAAGTTTGTACTGCAGAATTAGTGCATCGTGCAAAGATCTGCTTTTATTTCACTTTTCTCCCCCAATGATTGATTCTAGTGCTACTGAAAGGTGCTGGGTAGAGCACCAGAACTGGCATGGGAAGGGCTGGGGTAGCGTGTAGTTTCCTGTACTGCACTGCCAATATTCCTCCACCTGGCCTAGCAGCTTCCACCCATGTGTTGGAGGGAAACTCAGTCTTTACCTTCATTCAGTCTTTGCCCTCCCTGCTGAACGGTTCAGTGCCATGTGCAGTGATAGTTCTAGTGATGTAGATGCTTATCTACTGGAAACTAAACTGAGAGCATCATGCTCATTTCACAAAGGCCATGAGAGAGCCTTGAGGCCATTCCATCATTTACCAGCCTGAACTGGATTTGAACTGATGACCGAAGTACCTGTCCCTATCACCATGACAGCTTGTTGTTAGTGCAGGTCCTCTTTGTCAGGTAAAAAGAGTACCTTAGTTGTGGATAAATGAGGAGAGCCCAACTTTGTATGAGTACATAGAAAAGAGTGCGTTTCTAGCTTTTAAAATGTTAAATTACATGCTGTTGAAAAAAAAAATCTCTTTGCTCTAACGGGTGAAATTCACCCCTGTGCAGACTTACGCACCTCTTAATTTCCACTTAAATCCTCACTTCGGGGCTTACGTGGTCTCCTAGACCTTGTGTTGTCCCCCTGCACAGTAGTCAGTTTCACCCAGTTAGAGAAAAGGTCTTCACTAAACAGAGTGTGTAAGTTCCTGCAGCTTCTGAAGGGCAATCGCTTTGCTTGGCAAAGTTTGAGGTAGGGTTAACACACGTAAGTTCAACAAAAGTGATATACTGAACTAAAGCATCCCTGCCCAATGAGGATAGAATGTCTGGAATATAAAGCACCTTCGTGCAAGGTACAGTACATTTTGGGGGGTCATTTTTAGCACAGCAATGTTGCCAAGCAGCTCCTGTATTAATGGGAGTCACGTGATTAAAAGAACCCTTGTGCAGTGACTTAAATTTTACCATTTCAGTGCTGTTGGGAAGACAGGTCACACAAAATCACCTATTTCATTTCTTCCCTTTATTCATCTCCTAGAAAAGGATCCCCTTCCCACTCCCCTGGGAGATTATTGTTTGCTTGAGAACAATGAAAACCTTTGCTTAAAAAGGGAAGGAATGTTACATGACACTAAACTCCAAGGGTGCCCGTTGGTTATTGTTAGGAGACAACAGTACTCTGTGGCCGGTAGTACTTTAGTAAATGGAGATCTAGTCAGTGCTGCAGTTGTTGATCATACAACACTGTGTGTCATTTGTTAGGTTTAGTTTGCATATTTCTTCGAATAATTATTTTCACTGTATAAGATTGTTTCTGCCCATAGCCCGCTCATCTCCTAGGAGATCGCTACTCAAGACTTGCTTAGTTTCAATTTCATACACACAAACTGTCCACAGAAGTTAAAAGAAAATTGCCAGCCAACAAACGGATATATTTCTTTATGAATCGGACCCACAATTTGGTTCAGTCGTCATCATTTTCCCATGAAGGGCTGGTATTTATCTCAAATAAGGGTTCCTTTTATCTCTCGCAACTTAGACAGGCTGGGAGGGATAGGGAGACGGCTTCTATTGAAGTCATTGGGATATATACCATTGACTTCAGTGCCTGCGGGATCCAGCCCAGGGTCTTTCTGGGTTCAGATTTAGGCCACTGGAGTCAATGGGAACACTGCCGTCTATGTCAGTTGTTGCAGGATTGAGGCCGGACTCAGAATTGTACACAATTCTGCACTGAAGCTATGTGCATTCAAATTACTTGCTAATCAAGGGACTGTGTTATTGTCAATATACCTTAGGCAACCATGAATACTAAAGCTAAAGATAAATGCTTTTATGTATTGTAACTCTTGACTTTAATAGAACTTCAGTAACATGTTACATTTGCTTTAAATGCCACAGTTATTAAGTAGTAGAGAAAATGACTATTAGTGCTGGTCTTTACACAATACCTTATCCATATTTACTGTATGAACTCCCTGCCATAACAGGTATGTCAGGACGGTCTTTAAAAACAAAAAGACTTTGCCTTTAGCAATAACAGAGTTCCTAAAACTGATTCTATATCTGCATCCACTCTCCACATTTCATTTGTTTAAAGTATGTATTATCCAGCAGTCAGCATAATTACTACACTGAGAGTTCAAATGAGATGTTAGCACTAAAGGAACTGTCATGCAAAGGGAAAGCCAGGGACTACTACGCTATATATTAGAACTCCCCTAGAAATGTTTAGAAAGGTTAAAGTAGCGCAACTGTGGTCTATATTTGTTTCCTTCGATCAGGTGTTTTCAATCCGATTTTTTTTAAACTTCAATACAAACATGATACAAAAAATAAATATTATGAACTTAAATGACCACCTGCAACATTCAGCATAACAAAATGAGGTCTAAACCAGGCTAACCCATTCCGTCTTCGAGACTGCTCCATCGTTAAAGAGGAAGATTCCTATAGCGCTTGGGAAGAGGTCAGGTTTGTTTGAGCCCCGTAGCCATGCAAAAGCTGAATGAACAGGTCTGTAATTGTTGCACCCCTTTAACGCGCAGGGCTCTTAAGTGGCATTGGCTTTTGTTTGAATTGGGGGGTTGGGAGTGTTTTTTTAAAATATTTGTTGTTATGGCTTTAAGTTTCATATCATAAAGGGGAGTGAGTCACAGACCAAAGACTGTTAGAAGTGCTGCCCCACACCCACTGTGTTAACTTAATGGTGCTTATTGGAACTGGGCAGGAAACTCAGAGTTCATTGCATAGCTTCAGTGCACTAGACTAGAACAGAGGAAAACAAACTCAGTTAATAGGGGAAAGAAAGTAAGTGTCCTATTCTGTGCTGTGTACAAAAGGCAAAGAGTAGTCTAAAACTGAAAGAAGAAAAAATGCAGTATTGAAGAAGGTTGTTAATATCACAACATTTCTGGTGGAGAGGGATAAATAAGCTAAATGTTGTTAGCTGCTCATGTGCATTTTCGCCTTGATGTGTGTGGAACTGCGACAGCGCTAGTGAGACTTACCTGTGTAGATCAAGGAGAACCCTAAGCTTATGCTTCAGTGATGGCCGTGTTCCAAGTGATTGGCTTGCTGCCAAAAGGCCATCTGAAAGTTGGACTTATGAACACCTAATTGCACCTGCAGTGCAGAAGAGTAACTACGCCGTGACTGCTCAATCTTTAACACACATACAGTTAAACAGAATTACTGTTGGACTACTTTTTGGTAATTTTGTTGACTTTTTTTTAAGTTTGAAATTTTATAATTCGAAAAACAAATGGGAAAAAAGCTGGTAATAGATTTGTGAAGCATTTTCAACCAGCTGGTTGGAAATTTTCAAATCTGGAAATTTCAAAATATTTTAAAATTTTGCAAAACAGAACATTCTTAAATCTTCATTTCCCTCCCTCCTTCCCCCCCCCCCGCCCATCTCTAAACAATTACCACTGAATATTTAAGCAGGCAAAAAGCGCTATTGATGTGTGATTCAACTCAGTCCTTCCTTCCTCTCTGCACGCTATGCTTCTCTAGAAACCCAACTACATAGGACTCAATGGGTGACCTAACAGATGGTTGAGACACGGGGAGGGGGGTTAGAAATTGGCATGGCATTGATACCATAGATTGGCCTACCCAGACAGCGATGAAGTAAGCAGGGGCAAAGCATGTTAATAGATAGCTCCTTAGTGATACTGATAAAGTGATTCTCTTTTGTCTGTTTACACTATTACCTTTAAATTAACAACACATTTTGGACGGATCTGATTGTGATTATATTCAGTCCTTGTTTGAACCAACCTGAGACAATGTCACTGATCCCATTTAAAGGCTGTTGTCGGACCCATTCGTGTCAGAATGTTGGGGAGCTTGTTTAATGAGGACGACAAATTTCTATCCACGTTAAACACCATGGTTTGGGATTGGGTTAGAAAAATAGGACTAGCTGGTCTTTAAACAAACATTGTCATGTTTGAAAAGCATGTGGCAATATATATACAGCCCTGACGCTTTCTAAAGCTAAGAATTTCCTAATCTGCAAATTGCATTCTATTGAGTCTTGTTTAAAAAGAAAAAAAAAGCCACTCTTTTTTTGCAGGAAAGGTGGATATTTAAAGCTCCAGGACTATATATCTACAGAGAAAGGGGGAAAATCCTCAATCATAATTCCACTGAGACTTCCCAGGCACCTCACTTTAAACTAGAAGTGTGAGCCCCTGAACAATTAATTTTGCTACAGGTGTAATTCCTGTGTGAAAGTCAGCATCATTGTCACTTTCAGGAAATGTCTCATCTTATTGTTGCCACTCAGAGTCATGCAATGCCTATGATTTTCTGTCCCAAGCCTTCTGGTAAGTTAATAGCATCATGCTACCTATTCAGAGGAGATTGGGATTTCCTCTGAAGCATCTCATCTCTTTTTGAAAAGGTGAGATTGGTAGTTTTTAATCAGGATAAAAATAAATAAAAGGAAAGGGCCCCGAAGGAGCTATATGTAAGTTTTTGTCTTTCAGTTAGTTCCACTTTGTCTTTCCACCATTGAGTGTGGGCATAGGAAGGAGAGATTTGTGCAAAAAAATATTAAATTTGCATTGTGCTCTGCTCCCAAATACTTAGGCTAAAGATATACTGCCTTAGAAAACAGGTCCTTTATCAGAAAGATTTTTAAAAAGGCACTTTGGGACCTTTCATCGGGTTCTCCTGGAACAGAAATGGTGAAACTTTCCAACACATTAGCCATCATAGGAATAAGCCCACTGCAAATCATGTCTCACGTGCATTTTTGCTTGTAACGGGAATTTAAAATTGCATTGTACTCTTGCATTTCCCTCACCCCCCCGCTCCAAAAGGCTTAACCACTGATAAGAAAGAAAGCATTTTGAAGCCTGCTGAGGCTTGCTAAACGCATTATCACTTTCTAAAGCAATGTGATTTCTATATTCCTTTAAAAGATCTCTCATAATGGAACCCTTGAAGGCTCTTGAAGCAGGCTTGAATTGAAGAGCAAGAAAACCAATAATTTATGGGTGGTCCCATTTTTATGTATGATTGGATTACAGGAGCTGAAAAATCAAATGTTGCCATTGTGGTGCCGCCCACATCTTGTTAGCTACAGATATTTTTTCTCCTAAACTTTTTAACTAGATTTCTTATACAGTAGTGCCTACAGAGTAGGGAAATTAGCATCTTATTTTGAAAGAGAGTGGGCACGCCTGCTAATCATCCTTATCTGGGTCCTCTTCAGTTCTAGATATGCACACTATTATTATTCTAATTTGACTTTTTGGCAGTATTCATGATGTTGGTAACGGGGGTTAGACTAGACGACCCTTGCAGTCCCTTTTAACGCTATGATTCTATGTTACAGATTCTATGTATACACCGCCTCAATGGTATAAATAGCAACAAGAAATACTATACCCTAGTCTTGCTAGCCATCTTGCACCCCTCTATGGTGACCAGATAGCAAGTGGGAAAAATTGGGACGGGGTGGGGGGTAATAGAAGCCTATATAAGAAAAAGACCCAAAAATCGGGACTGTCCTTCTAAAATCGGGACATCTGGTCACCCTACACCCCTCAAGCATCTGTATTAATGCCAGAAGGTCCAACAAGGCCCGTTCTTAAAACTAACTCTGCTTTCTGCTCTAATTAAACTTCTATTCAGACAAACAGAAAAGTGCAGAAAGCTCAGGAAAAAGGAAATGTTTCAAATACTCACCTAAGAACATGAACCCTGTGAAGTTTGGGGATTTTATTTTTTTTCCTTTGCCTCATCATGAATTAGCTGAAGAAGCAGTCTGAGATGGAAATGAGAATGAGGAGGATGTCGGGTGACTAGGCTGTAGCTTGGTAGCAGTTTACTAAGTCCTGCCCCACGCAGAGGGGCAGATTCTCAGCTGGAGCTAATGCCATCTTCCACCGTTACTTCAGAGCGGTGCTGGTTTACAGCAGCTGAGGATCTGGCCCAGAAAGCCTGTCACCTTTGATGACAATGAAAAGCAGATTTTTGCCACCGACTCTAAACTACAGCCTGCTAATCGACGTGTGGAAATGAAAAAAAAAATCAGATTAAACCAAAGTGGCAGAATGGTGGCTTGTATTCCTTCTCCATCCGTGAGTCCCCACTATCGTGTTGGACCAATGAAAGAGCTCTCCTCTCGACTGCTGCTTCAACCCCTATCTGAAAATCAAGGCATGTTCATTCTGCTTTCCACCTGATCACCAGCAATCGGAGTTTAGCTGGCGATTGGGTAGATAACGTATGAGGCAGGGGAGAATACAGCTTGACCCTCTGCTGTGCTGACAATGGTAAGAACTCGATTTAGGGCCAGTTCTGCAGCATTTACTGTGACGAGCTCTTACTCACATGAGCAGTGGCACTGATTTTGGTCGTTGTCCAGGGAACTATCTATTCCAGTCACGTCTCTGGAGCTACTCAAGAGGTCATATGCTACTCAACATAAAGGAGGATTAATTCATTTACTAACAACGGAATAAATCTAGGATGCAGAAGGCACAAAAAGAACAGCAACCGGTCTCCAACGTTCAGATCCAGATATGGAGCCATATCTGGAGTTTGCAGAAGTTTGAGGCGCGGGGGCTTGGATCCAGTGGTCTAGTTCAGATGCATAATTTTTATTTTTAGTCATTTTTTCTGACCTTGCCCACCCTTTATTTTAATAATTTGCCTCATGCAAATTCTAGTGTTTGACAGCCCATAAAATTGTTTATGTTTACCCAGTAAAATGCTTTTCATAGGGAGAATTGACTGCAGGACATAGCCTCTGCTAGTTTAAACAATGATATTTATACGGTCAAAACCCCATTCATCTACGTCATCAGAAAGCATGTCGATAGCAATTTTTCATCTGTGACAGTAAAATGCTTTCTCTGACCTCTATCCCAATACCCACCAATGACCTTGATAGTGTAAACATGACAAAATGAGTGTAAACTCTTACTACGGTTATCATTAAGAAACTCATATTTGTTTGGCGCTTTTTTTAATTTATGTGTGTGGTTGTGTGAGAAAATATAAAGCTTTTTTTTTTTTTATCAAATAACATCAATCCTTGCACACTCTATGCAAAATTTTGTAAGCATTGCAATAATGCTATGAATTACACAAGGAACTATTTTAACTTTATTACACTTTCTGTATAAAAAAAGATTTGTATTTAAATGATTTCAACTGCAAACTTGTAAAATATATTAATAAAATAATGATTGTTAAGAAGGGAAGAAATGTTCCTTTTTTTGCTGGGGGAAAAGTGGATGGGGGACATGTCACCAGTGAGCCTAAACTTTTATAGGTACCAAGGGTTTGCCAAGCAGGATGAGACCATCGCGTCCAATATCTTGTCTCTGATAGTGGCCAACACCAAATGCATCAGTGGAAGTTAAAAACTGCAATAGGTAGTTATAGGAAAATCTGTCTCCAGAAAACGTTTCCTCCTGACCCCCTTTATCTGGGCTTGGCTTATGACCTGAAGCAGGAGAGTTTATCTTCCTTCTAAAACTCTTGGTGTCTTTAAATCCTTACTATTATAAAAGTCTGGATCTTCTTGTTATCAATACAAATGTCCAATCCTTTTCTGAGTCTTGCTAATTGTATCATGTGGCAACATATTCCACATGCCAACTATGCATTATTTGGAAAAAAAATCCTTTCCCTCCCCCCCCACTGAACATCCCCTTTTTTGGACTATGAGAAATAACTTCGCCTGCTCTAGGAATCTTACATGTTGTGAGAAATTGCCTGAGCTTTCTCCCGTCACGTCTCAGCCTGATCATAGAGAAATGATGGACTCATCCAACAGTTTTAACGATCCAGCCAGTCGTGTTAAATGGCTAATTAATCAATTGTTCATGGGTGACTCCATTTCAGGCAAACACTTGTGAGAGAAATCATCCTGCTTGGGATTGCATTTTAAATGTGAATTTGTTTTCATTAAATTTCACCATTAAATGAAAGGATTGATTGGTGTTCGTTATCCAAACCAATAGCTAGAAATCAACCCATCTGAAGAATTGTGCATTCCTACCAGACTAAAAGTAAATGCAAGCTCTAATGATCACAGCCTCCGGATGTCCAAAATTCACACGCTATCGCAGTTTATTAACCAAATTGTATTGGCTTCTGCAGGCGTCTCTCAGTGGCGCTCCCTACTCCCATTCATGCTCTGTCTTTAGTTAACGGTAGTTGAGTTGATTTTTCCACTTCAGCAGCTGCAGCTACAAGTCTTGCCCTCAGCTTAGAATTTTCAGCAAGTTGGCAAAGGAGTAATTTCTAGGTTCATTTTGACTCAAGACTGTGCTCCCATTGACTTCATAGGAATGCCATATGTGATAGGCTGAGTGCCTCGGGCCCAATCCTGCTAGATGTGTCCTGCCCACAACTTCAGCTGAAGTCAGTGGACCCGCTCCTGCTCCCACTAAAAAAATCAACACAGCAAATGAATCCAGGGGCAAATAGGACATGTAGCGGTCCTCAGCACAGGGGTGAATTTCACCCCTAACAGTAGCATAGTTCGCTGCAGTTGTTACAATACCATACTAGCTGAAAGAGTCTATCACAGCTTCAGTGACAGCAAAATACCTCTTGGAAAATAAACCACTTTTTTTTTTAAAATAATAAACCAAACATTTTGAGTAACTCCTGCAGTATATTCTGGATACTAAACAAAAGAGGGCAGCATGATACCAGGGAATATCAATATCTGATTGTCCACCAGACAATAGGATTCATACAACAATAAAGCGCATGCCAGCAAAAGAAATTCAAGTCCCAGTCCTGCAGCTCTTAATCAGGCCAACCTCCACTGGCATAAAGAGGAGACTGGGTGAAAAAGGCCACACAATCAGGCCCTGCAGCAGCTCGAGAACCAAGGAAAATTTGTCAGCAACTTCGTCAGTTCAGGGTAGGCTCAGCGGTGGCCTAACTCTGCTGCCATGGAAGTCAGTGGGAGTTTTAGTATTGATTTGCATAACAGCAGAAGTAGACCAATGCTGAAACTCTTACCCATAATCTTCCCCTTCCAAGGAGTCAGGAAGTAGTCCAGCCAAAATTTTAGACAAGTATATTTGCAGATTTTTGTCCCCACCCCCCACAAATAAACATATTCCGCCATACGAAATCCCGTGATTGGCCTGTCGAACACTCTTGCCTGGATAGTGGCGCTCTCATTTGCTCAGTTGTTTCCCCCCCTCCCCATTAAATTATTTCCCCCTGAACTGTCAGCCCAGTAAAAGGAAAAGTCTATTTTAACTCCTTCAAATTCCAGCCTGGGGCTATATGATCTTTTCCACAGACCTCCCTCCCCACGACTGCTGGGAAAGTAAGTGGCCAGTTCTGGGGGTGAGGCTTTTTCCAGAGGAAGGGAAACTCTGCCCCACCACAAGAGGTTGGGTGGGGGGGGGAATATGAAAGGGGATCTTTGCAGAGAGTCCCCTGCCCATCGCTCTCTCTGATGGGTTTTGGATGGGATGGGACGGGATGCTACAGGCTACCTCACCCTGAAACCTCAACACGAGCCAATATCTTACGCTAATTACTAGTTAGTAGAGAGTATGGCACAGCAACATTTCTTCAATGCAAAGGGGGCTGTTTGCTCCAAAAAATCCTGACTTTTCCCAAAATCAAAATTTTGCCATAGAAAATGGTCAGTTTTCACATTTAATTTTTTATATATTATGTTTTTTAAATCATTTCTCAGTTTTCTCCTTCTTTTCCCCTAGTTAAATTATGAAATGTTGAGTTTTTTTAAAAAATAATGGGGAAAAATGGAAAGGGGGGCAATTAAAAACAGCTGCAGACCATTCTTTTTGAAAAGGTCACAAAAAACTGAAACCCCAAAAGTGGGACCATTCCAACCCCTGCGAGAACAGAAACAGCTTCAACATTTTAAAATTTTATGCACAATTGTTTTTCCTTTTTTTTTTTACCAACTCCTGTTGAGCTTATTTGCTGTTGAACTTCAGTTGTTAAAACAAAGTTCATTGAGATGAGCACTGAGAAGTGTCCAAAAGCAGTAAGGAAATGAACATTTTGAACAGGGCTATTCCTGACTGCCACCCTACGCCTACGCCCAGTAGGGACAATGGAAAAATTCCCTTCGACTTCAGTGCTTCTAGATCAGGTTCCCCCTATTTGAGATGCCAGATAGCTCCCTATATGAAATCTCCCACAGGAAATTCACCCCCTCATTTAACACGCTTCACAGCGGATCAGAGCTGCTGAAGGATACAGCAGGCAGCGAATGAGAAAGTGAAGATAACCAATTTAGAAAAATGTTGCTTTTTGCTCCCCCTGCTTTCTCCGGCAACCTCCAAACCCCACAGCACTCTCCGTCTGAGTCGTGCGGCTCAACCAGTAAGATTCCCGGGTTAGGCAAAGCTTCCCTGTCTCCTATCAAGAGAGCTTTATGTTTTTTGGCAGGTGCAGGCCAAGGACACTGCAGATTTATGTGCATGTGCATCTTGTATCATGGGAGAATGTAAAATAACATTAAGACAGGGTGAGGCACGTTAGTCTCAGGAGCAAGAAAGGCAGCATATATTTGGGACATGGCCACCTGCTTTCAGCAATGATTAACAGCCCTTCTCACTGGCTGGCTATTTCCGCGTACAAATAAAGGCCTCCATGACATCTAACAAGTGTCTTAATTTGGTTTGGCACCATTTCCTGTTGCTAAAGCCGTGAGCTATGGCCACTGACGTTGGCCACGGCCATGACCTTGCAAAGCTGGAATGTTTTTGCTACAAATCCTTCATTTCATAGTACCCCTTTCATTGGAGAAATGCTCCTTTACTAACCCTCGAGTCCTTGGGTACGGAGAAGTACAACTATTAAGGATTTTTTAATATTTTTCTTTTAAATCTGTTTTCCAGACTTCCATTCCCCCTGCTCCCCCCTACCTGAGTGCACTTACTTCCCTTATTTAGATTTTGGGATCTCTATAAAGTGGCTTCCAAGGAAAAGTCCAATATGGAATCCAGAAGCAAACGTACAGAATGAACCCCTCACCCATGTGTCAATCGAGCTGGACTCAAGTTTGCTGCCCTTGCTCCTCCCTTGTGTGAAGCAGAGGGTGGGGCCTAGCAGGGCCCATGAATGTCTGGCTGTGCCACTGGGGAAGATGCAGATG